GTGTTAACAGTGACAGCGATGCCCTCAGGACAACATCATGCCCCTCTGTGCTGCCCTGTCAACAACCCCGACACTCCCGGGGAGAGGGCTGGGCTTCACTGCCCCTCTGTGCTCCATGTGGGGAGGGAGACCCAGAACAGGGCCTCTAGGCGGGACAAGGAGTCCCCGGCCCCACACCACAAGCCCCCCTACACAGGAGGCACAGGGCCTGAGAGGGCAGGGCCCAGCTCGAGGGGTGAGCGGTTAGTGAGGGTGGACAGTCACCCAGGGCGGGTAGGGCAGGGGCTGCGGAAGGGCCACAACTGAATCACAACCCTCAGCCCTCCGGGTGGGTGGCCGATCAGGGCCATGCGGTTGCCATCTGAACTGCTCAGATTCTCATTCACCTGTTTATACTCCCACCTTCTTTCCAAAAGGATTCAAGGAGGCCTTAAAGCCCAGCAGGAGAGAACACAAAGGAAAGTGAGGAGGAGGAGGAGACGCAAAGGGGACCCACACTGTTCAGACAGACGTCTGAGGGTCCTGCTCAGGGGGCTCGGCTCTGCCCTCCAGCCACCGGACCTAGGACAGGCAGCGAGAACTAGGGATGGCCGCTCCGGGGCGCCCTACCCCCACGCCTGGCCTGCCCGGCCTTTCAAAGCTCAGGGGGAGGTGGGGGCAGCCGTCCCAGTGGCTCTGGTGGCCTCTTCAAGCCTGAGTGCTTCAACCCACGGACGGCCGCCCAGGGGAGACCCTGGACAGGCCTCTGTGCTGGCCCGGCAGAAGAACGGGGTCCCCCGCAAAGCCTGCAGTGCAAGCGGCTGCTGCGGGGGCGGCCCCCGGTCAGGGCACCGCTCTACGCTGGGAAGGAGCCGCTGAGAGGGCTCCCTGGAGGAGGAGGCCTTAGACGGGCGGGCGGGCGGGTCTCCTCCGGAGCCGGGGCAGAGGGCAGAGCGGGCAAACGGAGGACACGAGGGGGCAAGCGTGCAGAGCCCAGGGGAGACGAGCTCCAGGGGCCCCCGGCGCCCCCACCATCCCTGGTCCCCCGAGGTCAGGGCACCGCTAGGCCTCAGGCGGCCCCTCGGGCGTTAACCGCAGGCGACGTCGATTCGCCGCCATCCTTTAAAAGTTTATCTCCAAACAAAATCCCTCTCCGGCCGCCGCGGGAAGCGGGGCCATCCCCGGAGCAGCCTCCGAGGACGGCGCGGCGGCCCTCCTCACGCTTCGGAAACAATGGGCGGCCGGCGACGGAGAACTGGGGACCCGAGCGTGGAAAATCCCCCAGCCTGGCAATGTCACCGGCGGCCGCGGGCCCGGTGCTGCCCCCACGCGCCCCTCCGCGGGACTGCACGCCCGGGACGGAGGGCGCCGCGGTTGATCTCCTGGTTCTCAGACTCTGAACGCATGGCGGGTAGGGCGGGAAAGCTTGCATTTGGGTTCTGAGATTATTTTAGGTTCAAAGGAAATTACATTTCATTCCTAAAGCCAAAATCATATCGTGGCTTGCACTCTCCTGGAGCGGAAGCACAATGACTTGTTTTTATTCGATCATCACATTCTACCACTAGCTGTGTTCTTTTCTTTTTCTTCGACATGAAGTCAGAGATCATACACTACAGAAATTATGAAGTGGATAGACAAAGATAGTCAAGGAGCAGTAGAGCTGAGATAGCTTTTTCCTGGACTCTGAAATCACTCAGGGCTGAGCACTGCCTCCAGCAAACAATCAGCCCTCCTTACATTCACATACAGTCTTAGGACTGTGGGGAACCTTGGCTCCGGGCAGATCCAGGAGGAGAGAACACAGGCGAAGAGGACCTCCTGAGAGGGGCGCTTGGCTGTGCTGTGCCCTCACTTGAAATCCACAACTGCCCTTTATTGTGCGTGTTTCTGCCAGTGTTTCAGGGGACAACGCTGAAGGCTCAACACAGGGAGTAGCTTGACGAAAGCTGCCCAACCAGCGAGGGGTAGAGTCATTCCATCCTTCTCCCAAATGTTGACTCCGAAGCAACCAGACTCAGGAATGGTGGCTCATCTGACTTTGAGATACAAGAAACTCACCCACAGCCATGGGGTGTCACAGTGTATGTGCCACACTTGAATCAAAGGAAAAAACTGAGCAAAATCCAGCAGCCAACTAGGAAAGTTTTCTTCCTAGGAGAATTCTACAAAGAAAGGGCTTCCTGGCTAAACAGGGGTTCCTCATCAGCCATTCTGGCAGGTGAGGAGCTGTTCATCCACTGGTCAGGCTGCTCTGGCTCCTCTCAAAGCCCATGGGAGGGGCAGCCACCACTGGGGTCCAAGTGCCAGGCCCTTCTTCCTTGTCTGGGCCTCAGTTTCCCCATTGGGACAGTGCGATTGTCACAAGACAGCACCACAGGCCAAGCACAGATGGTTCTGGTGGCCTTTTGATGACACTCCAGCTTTCTCCTGAACACTCTGGACCCACATTCTTATCTGGCAGCAGAGACCGTGGTACAGACCCTCTCACTGCCCCTACCTCAGCCTTGGCCCCTGGCCTGGGGGAGCCGAGGGGAGTGCAAGGGTGGGTGAGTGCCGGGCTCTGAAGCCAGATAGCCCAGGATCAGAATCCCCGTTCTGCTGACTCGCACAAGTGAGAGGAGCTTGGTCAGCCCTGGAGGACACCGTGGGCCGCATGCTGGGCCCAGACACCCAGGGCCGAAGTAGGGGTACCCAGGGGGGAGGCTTTCGCTCAGGCTTTATCCACTCTGCTCTCGTGGGTCAGGAAAAGGAAGCACCAGAGGAGACCACCAGCCAGCCGTGTGACCTTGGCGACGGTCTTCACTTCTCTAAACCTGTTTTCTCTGTAAAATAGCATCAGTCTACCCCGAAAGCCTGCTGCTGGGATTAGAAATGACACAGCTACAGGGCCTGGCACCCAGTAGTGCTAGATAAAGAGCAGCCTTCATTTACCACGCGGTAGAGAACTGTCATCTGGGTAAAGACGTCTAGAGGGCTGACCCAGGGCAGCTCTGCCCACCAGCTCTCAGCTGCCGCCTCCAGCCCCATGAAGGACGACACCGCAGAACTCAGCAGAAAAACGGGTCAAGTGACTGCAGGTAGAGGCGGGCAGCTCCCGGCACACTGCTGTGCCAGCCCCACTCCTGGCAAGAATGAATCACTACTGGGAAAGTCTGCCCAACCCACCCCAGGCCTCCCTGGGCCGGACAGTCTTAAAGCAGCTTCAGGTGGGCGCTTTGGGCCCTAGGTCACACCCCAACCCACCCCCACCAGCTCTAGGTCACTCTGAACTGTGTTCAGGGCGCTGCACTTCTCTGTCCAGAGTGGATGTTCCTTCAGCCCCTTTTGAAAATAGCCTGCTCCCCTCTTCACTGGGTTTTGGGGGTCGGAAGTCATTTTTCCAGTTCTCCAGGTTGGCTTCCAGGAGGGCTTTCAGGTGTGATTTTACATATTTTTAACAGTCTTATTGAGCTACAATTGACACGATAAACCCTCACAAACACTCCCACCCCATGCTTTCAGGACCTCCGACAGAAAGAAACCAGGGAGCCCCTGGCAGGGGATGACGTGGGCATTTGAACCCAGGCCTGGCAGCCGGACTCCCTCCCAGAGGCGACTCCAGCCTGGGTCAAAAAACTAGGGCCCCCCACAGCTGCCCCGGCCCCCGCCCTCTGAGAGACCGGGCAGGTCATTTCAGCCCGGTCACCACCCGGCCGCCTCTTGCTCCACGGAGGTGCCACAGCCTCTGAGCACCGTCAGGGCGGGGCGCGTGGGTCAGAGGCCCGACGGACCCCACACGCCAAGGCAGGGCAGGGCAGGGGCGTCTGAGGAGCCGCGCACGGCGAGCCAGAAGATGGGCAGGCCAGGCCGCGCGCGCGCGGGGAGGCCCACGGGAGCACCACGGCACACAGAACAGGCCCAGGGCCGCCAGACCCTCTGATCCACCCTCCAAAGCCGGAAGTCGGAATTTTTTTGCGGACTCTCACAATTTCAAATACTATTGGGTCAAGTTTTGTAACTTTTTCACCGGGGTTATAATAAGCATAGAGATTAAAACGCACATTGGCTGAAGTTCCTTTCAAAGAAAAAGGGACTGCATAAAGCTGGGCCAAAGACCTCTGCGGAAACTTCCGCATCTCCCGATGATGGGCTCCGGGTCCCTGTCCCAAAGCTCCCCCCTCACCCCCAGAGGAAGCGGGGCGGATCTGGCCGCGACTCCGCGCCCCCCACTCTCCCTTTCCTTGCCTGCCCGCGCGTGTTCCCGCCCCCATGTCCCTCCAAGTCCAGGCCGGCCCTCTCGCGTTTGGAACTTCCGAGCACCCAGCGCGCAAGGTCAATGCCTTTCAGGGGTATTCCACCCGCAGCCGGGACCTAGGGGAGGGGGACCCAGGCCCCAGGGGCGCCAGCCGCAGCGCGTCCTCCTCCCGCCCAGAGGGCCGCCCGCGCCCCGGCTCCGCGTTTCCGCAGTCGCCCCCCACGCCTCTGCGGACGGAATCCGTGCCCAGACCGCGCGGCCCGCCTCCGAGCGGCCTCGCCACGGCCAAGTCCCGGGTCCCCGCGCCCAGCACCCACCTGGGGCCCTCGGACTCTGGGGGCGGAGCCTAGGACCGGCGCGGGCGGCGACGGCAAG